TGGGAGCCCCACAAATCAAGGCTCCTTTGGAGAGGTTGATGCAGTTCCCAAGCACAAGGTCTCCGGCTGCCTAGTTGTGTGCAAATCGGTCGCGGAAATCTCTGTGATCTTCTCTGCTCTTCTCTCTCGTTCTCTCTTGTTCTCTCACTCTCTCTCACTCTCTCTGAAATTCTCTTGCCTTATCATCGATGCCAAAGAATCTGCAAGCTTCACGGCCGTGATACCTCAGATCTCAGGACTTCTATCGCTTGCGAAAACTGAACAAATCTTAAACAAACAAGCAAGACAAATAAAACAAACAAGCAAACAAACACATAAAACAAATATCGAACCTTTAAAACAACCACCAGCCCGTTCCACTCCAAACACCAACTGGGCCCACAGCTGGCCCTGGTATCCCAAGTTGTGAATCACATAGATCACTCTTGCCTCACAAGCAAAAACTGAGCCAGCTTGTCAGGTTTGCAAAACCTGCACAGGTTGCAATGAACAGCGCACCTGAGAGTAGCAGTTGTGCCTTCTGTATTTGTAGCACATGTAAACAGGGACCTTAGCCCAAGCAAATGTCAATCCACCTTGCCAACTTGTTTGTGCAGCCGCAGATTGAAATCCATTCAGGAGAGCGCTAGCCCGGCTTGCCAGTCATTTGCTAGGAAAATAACCTTGCAAAAACACATGGCAAAGAAATTCAGAAACCCATGCCAAGATCAATTGCGCCGTTGGCTTCCCACTGAGCGTTCTTCACGCACAGTTAAAATGAGAAAGAGTGAAAATAATTCCAAATAACAAAGCTGTGATGGCAGGGTTTTGGAAGCTGAACTGAATCATGAAAGCATTGCATGAAGTGCGTGTCATGTAACAGTGTAACATGCCTGGGTGTTCACACAAACCTGCAAAGAGGCCAAACGATGAATCACACGTGCCTAGACCCCTAGATTGACAAGAAAATTCATGAGGCGTACTGCAGTTGATCCGCCGACAGCCCAGACGAATGCAAAACGGCTCCACCAGCAGTGCAAGGGACCGGACCCGAGTGCAAAATGGGACCGAGTGGACACTCTTGTAGCTACAAGACACTCGCGTATGAACGGTAAGTTACATCGTTTTTTAAGGGGAGAGGGGAGGTAGGCTGTAAGAGGTAGCTGACAAGCAGCTAGTAGTGAGGTAAGTAGGAGACCTTGGAAGCTACTAGTACGGGCGAAGGGTTCCTAGATTTTTGTGCCGTTGTCTTTCTGGCCTCCAACCTAATAGCAATGACCTCGAACCCAAGAGCGATTTTTTGGGAAGACGGAATTCACTTCACTCGGAGGTTTGCATCGACTGAATATAGCCTCAACCCCTTACAAACCCTTGGAGTTAAAAGCGAGAACCTTTGGTTGCGGCTCCAGATGGTTCCCGATGGTTCCAAATGAGGCCATTGCTATTAGATAGGATATCAGCGCTTCAAGGTTCCACAGTTCCGGGTGAAGAGATGCTACCAGAGCTTGTCTCGAAGAGAAGTAAGAACACCTGCTTCCAGGATCTCAGGAAAAAGCTCAAAGAAGCCGTGAAAATGGGGTGAGAAGAAAAGACGAACGAGTTGAATAGTAACAAGAAGCTAGTAGTAACAGGTGCCTTACTAGTAGTAACAAAAAGCTATTAAAGAGAGCACATTTACACCACAATTGAAATTCCCTTAAAGAGCGATGTACAAAGCAAACACTGGTCTCAACCATACTCGTTGCATGTAGGACATGGGAGAGACTCGGAGAGACTTCTTCGGAGCACACTGCAGCAGCGCACTTCTTCAAAGCACGGAGCCTCCAACCTCCACCCTACTAGCAATGGCCTCCAACCTACTAGCGATGGCCTCCATGGAAAATTTGTTTTGTCGTCAGGTGCCAACGCTGCATCTGGAAGTTCCTCTTTCCATTCTGTCCAATACACAATCCTTTAGCTAGTAACAAGAAGCTAGTAGAAACAAGTGCCTTACTAGTAGTAACAAGAAGCTGGTCGAATCATGAGTTCGCCATGATTTGCGGGGCGGTGACAGTGATTCGTGGACCCATGCAGCCACGTGGTGGCAGCCCTTGCACACAACCCTGAGCGGATTGCACCCGGAACCTCTCGCCTTTGCTCCGTTCGTAGCGTCCAGGAGCCCCTAGTAGTACGGCCAGGAGCCCCTAGGCCCTAGTAGCTTCTTGTTCCTAGTAGCTTCTTGCCTCCCACAATACTTCTAACTGACTGAATACGGACCACAGCCTTCCACAACTATTTGCACCTAGTGCTCACACAGCAAGTACTACTAGAGATGGCCTTCAATCTGCTAGTGATGATGCAAGTACGTTCCAAAAGAATGCATCGAATTTGGTTGAGTTGCCCGAAATGCTCCGAAATGGAGAGACTATGCTCTCTCATTGTCTTGGGGATCGACAGGGGCGGGGTGCTCCTTAGCAAACCGTTCGACTTTAAACCAGCGCTACTAATAGCGATGCCCTTTGTTTCTAATAGCTTTTTGTTACTACTAGTAAGGCACTTGTTACTAGAAGCGATGCACTTGTTACTAGTAGCTTCTTGTTACTACTAGTAAGGCACTTGTTACTAGTAGCGATGCACTTTGTTGCTAGTAGCGTCCGATCGCTCCTAGTAGTAAGGCCAGGAGCCCCGTTCGTAGCGTCCTAAAACCAAGCGCTCATGCTGAAGCTGTTTCAGACTCTCTGAATGTCCATGTTTGTCATTAGATCGCCGCAGAGTGAACGTCTAGAGTCTAAAGATTCACCAGTTCTGCGCCACACCGTTTCACCACAAAATCATGTTGCCAAAGGTGTGCCTTTCGGCACCAGCTTTACGCAGGTCACAAGCTTTTGCTCTCAGCTTGAAACCTTGTCTCCATACTTTCCTTGGCCGTTGATGTCAAGGATCAAAGGGGCCTGTCAAAAGTGACTCGAGCTAACCCTGAGAAAGCTCGAGTCTCTTTCTTCCAGTCTCTCTTTGAGACCTTTTGTTTGGGCCTCCATTGCCGCCAAGCATAGCATAGTAAAGCGCTCCAAATTATCCTGCACAAGCACAGAAACATTGCAGACACGGCCAACAAGCGAGGAAATCAAAGCTGAAAATGCGAGAAAAGACGGAGATGTATATAATTTCAGCAAGCATGGTTTTTGAAGAGCTAGTGCTTGGGCCGTGGTCTGTATGTTCTCTCGTGCATGGTTTTGAGTTATGATTTATCAATTCTTCTTTTCAGTCCGGATATTCCCGCCCATCATCATCGTTGTACAGGCCGCCATCTCTTTGAATTCCCTGTCCCTCAATGAAGAGAAAGTCGGTGCCTTTCCCCTGGAGAAAACACCAGAGCGAAGCAACCTGGAAGATCCTTTCAAACCTAATAGCAATTGCCTCCAACCTAAGAGCGATGGCCTCCAACCTACTAGCGATGCCTTTCTCCTGCTTGCAAAGGCCTCCCCGTAGTCTTTTCGTAGATGCCAATACTTTACATTTTCCTGGCGATGAGTTTGAGAAAAAGGGGTGCGATGGTCTGCGAATGATATGGAAACAAATCATTTGTGTACTTCTTTGGTACTAGTAGCTTCTTGCTACTAGTAGTAGTGCCCTTGTTATTAGTAGCTTCTTGCTACCAGTAGCGATGCCCTTGTTACTAGGTGCTTTGATGTGTGTCGCACTGCCTCCTGATCTTTCATGCGAACACGAGTCTCGCCAACGAAATTGATGCCATCATAGTGCTTGTACTTTGGTGCCACCACCATCGTCCTATGACCATTCCTGGCACAATGGCTGTCCATTCTCCTACCCGGTCCTCAGGTCCTAGTCTCTGACAAATTGTCTTTAATACAAGTTACAAGCTCCGACCTACAAATGCGCTCTTCAAAACTACTTCCAGCGCTTTTTCTGCCGGGAAAAAATGGAAAAAGCTGCCGAGCACGGTGCGTCCTCGCAAACTCAAAGCCATATGACGCCGCAACCATGCCAAGCCCGCCTGTCCTGGGGCGAACGCCAACATGGCAGGCGAACCTTTCGCGTTTTGAGGACATAAACTCTTTAGGATCCTTACAAGTCCTTTTACCCAAAAGCTACTAGGAACAAAGGGCATTTCTACTAGAAGCAAAAAGCTACTAGTAGCTCCTTACTACTAGTAACAAGAAGCTACTAGGTTGGAGGCCATCGTTATTAGGTTGGAGGCCATCTCTGATGCTTGGCTTCTGGTTTCCAAATGAGGGAACGAGGAAGCGCTGTGATGCCGTGCAGCTCACGCGGGGGAGACGACCAGGACGATCGGCGCGTGGATTGGAGAATACCGTGTTGGGAGGATGGAACGCGGCGCCCGTAGTAGCGTCCTTGGTCCTAGAAGCGAGGCCAGGAGCCCCTAGTAGCTTCTTGTTCCTACTAGTAAGGCCAGGAGCCCCTAGTAGCATATGTGTTGGACATTGTGATACCTTTGGCGCGAGAAAATTATGAATGTGTCAGCACCTTGCGGCACGGGCTGAGGGGAGGTGTGAGGGGGCGATCGGCGCGTGGATTGCAGAATACGTTACGGCTGCGGGTGCAGCGCATATGAGCTGGCGTGGGCGGTGTGGTCGGGGGACGATTAGGTCGAGTACCATCTAACCAGGCTATTTTATTTGAAGGCTGTGTCCTTACAACAAGAAGACAGTGGTGAATGGATAAACATGACGCCTTACCAGGCAGAACGCAACACCACAGGCCACAAGGCAGCTGTTGAATGTCAATGCACCATGGATAAGCAAGCGGAAAGCCCCAAAGAGTTCAACAAACTTCAAACGACCCATATATGAAGCAAATTGGCATTTTGGCAAGATCAAGTGCACTGTCGGGTGATTTCTACATGAGTTTAGTGGGTGTGGTCCGCAAAGGACAGGAGACACTAACAGACTAGACCCCCAACTTGCAAACCATCGTTACAAAGCATTTCTGGCATTTTGATTCTTCTTTTCGTTTACTAACTGACGCACAAATGTTTTATTCTCGGGCTCACCTTGTTGACTTCACAAGCAACTTCTGGCAAGTTTCTTAGAGTAAGGAGCAACTTCGCTGGTAACGATCACCACAGGCACGTTCAGGTTGTAGGGATCATAGTGTGACTGTGCAACCTTCTTCCCCTTTCGATGTTCAGTCTTAGTCGCTGCATCGGCCACGTCCGCCAAGGCGGAGAAACTCCTGAGAGGAGAGGAAGCAACGAGAAAGCTAAACAACTTCAAAAAATAAACATATTAAAAGGTCTAAAGGATTTTGTGGGTCTACAAATCACAAACAAATGCAAAAAATACATAAGAAATGTAGCAAGGGGATGAAAACCAAGGTGACCAAGGCCATAGTGGGAGAACATCCAGGTGAGTAAATTGGTGGCTTAAGAAAATATGTTTAGAAAAAAGAAAACTTTGGCGGTCAGGCAGGCCAAGTCTTTACTTGTAGCATCTGTCCCATGGAATGGATCGACGGGATGTTGATTACCCTACTAGCGATGGCCTCCAACCTAAGAGCGATGGCCTCCAACCTAAGAGCGATGGCCTCCAACCTACTAGCCATGGCCTCCAACCTACTAGCGATGGCCTCCAACCTAAGAGCAATGCACTCCAACCTAAGGGCAATGGCCTCCAACCTAAGAGTGAGTGCTCTCCAACCTAAGAGTGAGTGCTCTC